AATTCACAAAGAGCCCTGGCTATAGGCTGAAAATTAGAATTTCTTCTTAGAGTTCTAGGGCTCCTGAGGGCTTTAGCCAAGGGGAACACACTTCCAGGAGGGAAGTGCAGTCCTGTTAGGAGCCTAAGGATGGCGGCGGCAGTTGGCTGGTCGGACGAGGTTGGAGTGTAGGTAGGCCACATGTCCTGTTCCCTACCTGCCACTTAGGAGATGGCACCATTATGTCAGTTTCCCTGTCCAGGGAAGAGAGCTCTGGCCGGGGACAGCAGAGCTACCCACTAGGCATGGTTATGCCATTCCAGGTCCATTGAGTCCACTGAATTCTGGCTCTATTATCTTAGCCTGTATCCTACTGTCTCTGAGACTTGGTATCTACACTTATAACACAGGGGAATAGGGCCTACTGGGAGCCAAAGGCTGTTATCTCATGTGTCTCCTGGTGACCTCAGAAAGGAGTCCTTCTCTTTCTCTGTAGCCAAAGGCCAAACCATGCACTTACCTCTAACCCCAGCTGTGTGTGTGTGTGCGCACGTATACTCATATGTGTTTTGTTCTTATAGTTGGAAGGCCACATTCTTCTTTCACTTGTACCTCAGCCTCCAGTTACAGTGGCCTCCTGTGGTTACAGAACTTCACTAAGCTCAGGCCAACGGCAGGGCCTTTGCCTTGTCTGTTTGCTCTAGTAGGCTACTCTTCATCTGCCTCAGTTCTCTGTACCCACCTAGTCATGGATGTAAAGACTGTCTCCTTAGGGGATGGAGAGATGATACTCCCTTCTGAACTTCTTGGACACTAGGAATGTCCATGGTGCTTATAAATACATCCAGGCTACACACACACACACACACACACACACACACACACACACACACACACACAGAGTAATGTAGGTTGTTTGTTTATTTATTTGTTTGTTTGATTTTGAGACAGAGTCTCATTCTGTGGTCCTCTCTTTGTAGACCAAGCTGACCTTGAACCCATAGAGGTCTGTTTGCCTTTGCCTCTTGAATACTGGGATGAAAGACAGGAGCCACCAGCACTCTCAGATAAAATAAATAAATCTAAAAAAAATTGTCTCCTTAGGGCTGGGAAGAGGCTCAGTCAGCAAAGTGCTTGATACACAAGCATGAGGGCCTACGTCAGATCTCTAGCATCATATAACAGCAGGGCATGGTGGGGCACACCTGTAATCCCAGCACTGGGGAGGCAGAGGCAGAAAGATTCCTGGTGTCCATTGGGCAGTCAGTCTGGGAGCTCCAGATTCAGTGAGAGACCCTGTCTTAAAACACAATGTGGAGAGCAACTGAGCAAGGCACCCAGTATCAACCTCTTGTCTTCCCAGCACACACACATGAAAAGGTAAACACACACACACACACACACACACACACACACACACAGCCCAGATCTCCTTCTTAGAGGTCTCTTAGTTGTTTCCTCTGTAATTCTGTCTGGTCTATCCCGCATATTGTCTGCATTCATGGTATATTGTTTATTCACTTCATCCTGACTACTTTTAATTCGCTCAGGTTGTCTTCCTCTAAGCCTGATCAGTTCAGTGAGGCAGGCTATAGACATCTGTCCATACATTGCTCCATCCCCATCACCCCGCCAGGCCTGGTCCAAGTAGGTCCTCAACCATTCACAACTGTACAAGTGAATGCAGCCATACAGTGCTGCATATCCAGTAGGTCCGGTGCTGCACATCTCTGAAAAGCTGCCCTATCAAAGAGGCTGCTGATACAGTTGCCAAGGCAACAGTTTGTCTGCTTTCCAATGCATCTTTAAAAGAGAGAAGCAAAGGCTCACACAGACAGTGATGGAAAGGAAAACCAGTGAAGGATCCATTCCTGAAGTTACTGAGGGACCCTTCTATGAGGGCTGCCTGTCTCCTCCCTCCCTCCCCTAAGAGGCACCTTCCCTCGTGTCTTTGGTTAGCTCTCTAATATGAACAGTGAACTCTAGGATAACAACAGCCTTTTCTGGCCTCATGCAGTGCTCTCAGGAACGGTGTGTGCTGCCTGGCTGCCTCCCCACTGGGACCCACCAGGCATCAGTGAGAACAGGATGGTTTGGAGATCCTTCCAGAAAATTCCTTTAGCCTTGTGATGGGCAGCAAGGACATCACTTTAGTATTTTTATGGTAGGTAGACATATGTCTCCAGAGAGCTGATGGAAGGAGGCAGCTCAGTGATGCATGTGTGCTGGAGTGTGTGAGTGGCCGTGCACCTGGACGAAACTTTCTCTTCCTTCACCACAGAAATGGTAGGACACTGAGCAGAGGCAAGAAGAGGTATTGAAGATTCGGGATAGAAATTTCTTGATCCTATTTGCAGGAACTGCATCCTCCAGGAGATGCAACCTGCACTCCAAGCCATCCCTGTCTCTGCCGGGATCCTCCAGCAGCTGTGGTGAGTTGGCACTGCTGTCCTCAGGGCTGTCGGAGATTAGCAGGTTCTTCATGGGACATCGAGTCACAGAAAGAACCAGGGCTCTTCTGAACCGTGCCTGGGACATCTGGGTAGGACACCTCAGGTCCTTGATTATCTGAGGCAACCTGAGGCTCAACTGGCACCTGAGGCAAAACTTGAGGGGCAGGGAGGCTGGGGCAGGAGCAGCCGTGGGAGACAGAGAAGAGGAGGTGGGATTCCTCCTGCTTTCTTGCTTCTGTCAAATAAGACTTGGTTTGGTCCGAGTGGCCCTACCCTGGCTGGATATGGTCCTGTAACTTGGCTTTGGACACTCAGAATCCCAGGCTCATGCTGACCAGAGAGAATCATCCTTGGCTGGAACCTCTGGGCCACAGCAATTTTCTGGCTCAAGATACTGAGCCAGAACTGAGGCTGCTGAAGTCATTCATCACTTCAGAGACCCTGGCTGAGAATGCAGTCAACCAGCGGTGTGACAAGTTACAAGTGGAGGCAGGCATCACATGAGTTCCTGGAACTAGCTGTACCTGAAACTGCCCATGTATGTGCATCAGCCTATCTTCCCTGGTACTGTTTCTGTGTCCAGTGAAGAGGAAGGAAGGTGAGAGGGCAGTATGGATATTAAGGAGCAGGAGTCCAGGGGTGAACTGATGGAGGAGCTGCCTCCTGGGGCCTACAGCTTTGCCCTGCTCTACTTCCCAGCAGTAGACTAGAAATGTCACAACACGGAGATAAATGCTGTGGACACAGAGCAGGATGTTCCCTGCTTGCCTGGATTGGGAGGAGTAGCATACATTGGGGAGGGGGTGGCTTTCCTTACTCCTTTGGCCTATCGGAGAACTAGTGTGCGTGCGTGCGCGTGTGTGTGTGTGTGTGTGGTGTGATGTGTGTGTATGTATGTGTGTAGGAGTGTGGTGTGTGTGTGGTGTGGTGTGTGGTGTGTGTGTATGTGTGTGGTGTGTGTGTGTGCATGTGATGTGTGGTGTATGTGTGTCTGTGTGTGGTGTGTGTGTGTATGGTGTAGTGTGTGCTCTGTGAGTCAGAGGTCAACCTTAGATGTCATTCCTTAAGAGCTATCATTTTTGTCAGCTCTGGAGCTTGCCCACTAGACCAGACCAACTGGCCGGTGAACCCTAGGGACACACCCGTCTGCCTCCTCAGTGCTGGGATTGCAGGGGTATTGACCATGCCCATCATTTCACATGGGCTCTCATGATGTGTCCATGTGGGTACTTTGCTGACTAGTCCGTCTCCTCAGCTCAGGAGACTGGGACATTGACACATGTGGCTTCATTCCTCCATAGCACAGAGCAGCTGGAAGGAAGCATTACTGAGTCCATTTCTCAGGTAGGACAATAAAGGCCATGGGAAATTGAGCAACCGGCCTATGGTCTCAAGGCCAGTGTGTCCACTCCCAATTCTGTCCCGTCTCATATCATAGGTAGTAAATAAAGTTCTGAGGGGTGAATGGTTAATAAGGTGATTTGAGCTTTCCATGTGCAGCAGCCTGATTCCGAGTTCTTTCCAGTCCTGCTGGAAATTCCCAGCATCACTGGACTCTAGGGAGGATGGAGCCCATTCCTGCAATCCAAGCTTGCCCAGGAGACCTGAGAAAGGTGCTTCCCCACTGGGCGTGGTGTCAGGGGATTGTAACAGTACTGTGAGGACCGTGGAAGGGGACACAGTGATCTGACGGGCAAGAGTGGTTGTGGCCCCTCCTTTTGGTTAAAGCTTCTTAGAGGTCATGGGTTCCTATGACTGCCCGTTCAGGCTAAGACTTCACCTCCTTCAGGGACAGAGGGGTAGCACCATGTGGGATGAAGCAGAAGGCCTTGACCTGGAGGCAGAAAGGATCCCTTGGCTGGTGTCAGCCCTGACAATTGCTAGGCTGAGCCCTTCACAGGCAGAAGTCTGGCTTATTGTGGGCAGAAAGATCCCTGGAGGACATCAACTCCTAGCACAGACAGGATCTCTGTTCTAGAACCTTCTTTAGTGGCATGTCTATTTTAATGCAAAGTTCCTTCTAGTTGTGTTTTTAGAGGCTGTCTGAGGCTGCCCCCATGATCCTTGTAGCCAGTAAAGGAGGGGCAGAGCTGGAGGTGGGGGATGTGTCCTTAGGGCTCCTCCCCATGATGGATGAGCACCTGCTTTCCAAGGGAATCCATAGCCCCAAGATGGGACAAATAGGACTCTATAAAAAAAGTGTGTGTGTGTGTGTGTGTGTGTGTGTGTGTGTGTTTTCCTGTGTCATACATGTGGAGGTCAGACATCAACTCAGGTCTTCCTCAACTACTTCTCCTCCTTACTTTTCTCTCCCCAATTCAGCTAGGTTGGCCATCAAGCTCCAGAGAACCATTGGTCTCTGCCTCCCAGTGCCGATTGCAGGTCCTCATGGCTACAGCCAACATTTTATAGGGATGCTGGGGATCTGAACTCTGGTCCTCACACTTGCATGGCAAGAATTTTACCAGTCCTGATTTTCAAGGAAGTGAATTTGGAGAAAGCTGCTTCCCCTAACTCCTTCATGGGTGACCATAAGCCTTGGGAACACATGGAAGACCCTGACAAGTCTTGCAGTTAGGAACGTCTATTCTCTTTATTTAACCTGCTGTTTCTCTCTCACTTTGTCCAAAGTACTTTAGAGAGGAGCCTTAGTTATTACCTATGGAGCACACTCTAGGAAACACTGGTGTAAAAAGATCCCCTCTCCTATTTCTAGAAGCCTCTGAGAGACCAGATCTGACTGTCAGCCATTGAAGTCCAAGAGCCACAGAGCCCTGGGGAATGATGGCTAGCACTGGGGCCTGGGAGCAGAAACAGTGTTTACCAACCTTGGAAAGAAAGTCTGTGGACATCTCAAGGCAAGAGAAACTTGGAGGATAGAATCTCGGCCTCCCCTGGAAGAGGGCACCCCAGTCTGCAAGATTTTCCCACCTGCTGCAACCCCATCCTCTGAGGTGTCAAGTTCAGTCTGCCTCAGGGAGTCCCTGCATGCAGCAGGAGGGGGAAGAGTATGGGTCACACAGAGGCAGGCACCTCAAGCACTCAGCATTTCACATTAGAGGGGCACAGGGAGGCAGGTGACTCTTGTAATTCAGGGACAAGGTAGGCTGGCTCTGGTGTTCTAGAATGTCAAGATGAGCCCTGGGCACTGACTTCTGGGCAGGGCTCAGCGTGCACAGAGTCATCTGGGTTGAGACTCCTCCTACAGCATCAGTCTCTGTAGGGCTGTGTGTCAGGCACCCATTGGCCGCAGCATCATGCGTGTGCCAGGCAGTGAGTAGCTGGGGCCTCGGAAGTAGTGCCAGCGGATGCCATTGATCTTGTGTAAGTGTTGATGAACTGGGTAGTAGATGCCGTTGAGGTTGGAGAGGCCACAGGCGTCAAACCACCACCCTAGTGGAAGAAGGAGGACAGGGAATTTAGAGGAGGTGAGACATGTGGCCTAGATTCAGGGAGGAGGCTGATGGACTGTCATTTTGGGATGCCAGTTTGCTGAAGGTGGGTGGCTGGAGATGGGCAGAGGTGAAGCCAGGGCTTTAGAGGGCAGCAGCGGCTCTGGTCACAGCTCAGGCCCCTCTAAGACTTCCTGCTGTGTCTCTGACACCCCTATCTCCCTCCTTTTCCCTTGATGATCTCCTACCAGGCTTTGTCATGCCCCCCTGCTCACACTAGTGGTCTCTGTGTTTGTGGATGTCCCTCTGCACTTCCTCTCTCTGTGTCATGTGTCTCTGTGTTGCCCTGTCTTCCCCTGGGGCTCTGTCTCCAGTGAGCTCTGAACACTTCCTGCCCACCTATTGGGCTTTAGTCCTCTCCTTACTGTCTGCTGTCACCTGTGTCTCTCTGCCTCTGCCACCTTGTGTCACTGTTGGCCTCTTCTGGGCCTTGTGTCTGTGACTTGGGTCTTGTCTATGAGTGCTTTTCTCATTCCATCTCCAGCCTCGGGCCTTTTCCCTTCCAGGAGCACTGCCTCACATAGAGGTGGGCAAGGGAGCTGCCCTCACTGCCTCTGCTCTCTCCCATGATGTTTCTACCTGGCCTGGGGAGTAGGAAAATCCTCAGACAAGAGGGCGGGATTGATGGGCATTGTGCTTACCCAGAGCCACCCTTGTCATCTCCCAGCTGCTTAAATCTAAGGGTGTTTCTATTGGAAGTACAACCCCATGGAAACTCCAGTGACTAGGAAGAGGGAGATTTGGCTAGAGTCTCACCAGGAACACCCATCTTCAAACATCATCTGGACATACTCACCTCCAGACATCATCTGGACACACCCAGCTCCAGACATCATCTGGACACACCCACACCCAGACATCATCTGGACACACCCACCAACAGGTATCATCCTGATACACTCACCTCCAGACAGCATCTGAGCACATTTGCACATGCAGTTATCATTGTCCATGTCTTTGGTGCTGAACTTGGTGCCCTGAGGAGCCAGGCTGTTCTTGCGCCCTGCTGAGCTGCTGCTCTCATTCACAGAGAGGCTGGAGGCAGTGGTGAGGTGGGGTAAGAAAGGGGTACAGAGTCAGGCTGGGGCTCCCCCAGGGGCTCTGTTCTGGCAATGTTTCCAATCTGTTATTTTTGCATGAGAAGTGTTCTCTGCTCTCATGCTAAGGCCAGCCTCCCTCATGGTGGCCCTCCTTACTTGCCACCCTGGGATTACAGCGCTGACTGCTACTGGGCCTTTTATACTGGCTGGATTTGGGTCCTAGAGAGCTGTGAGTGGGAGACACAGAGTAAGGACAGGAGGTAGAAGTCTTTCAAGCATCTGCTCTGGCGTTGTTACAGTGTCTTGAGAAGGTTAACTCATTTTCATTTAAACCTCATACTACCTTTTTCTATGCAAGGAAAGGGGGTGCCAAGAGCCAAAGGAACCTGCCCAGGTTGTCAGACTCAGTAACCATCAGTGCCAGTGTCCAGTCTGAACTGGCCTCGTACAGGCAGGGTTACATGCTCTTTGCTTGCCAGCTCTGCCACTTCAACATAACAGCTGCTCTATTCCACACTTCTTCAATAAAGCCTTCCTAGACAGTCCAGCTCTCATGGCTCAACCCTCAGGAACCCCCCAGCGAGGGGACAGAGGGTCTCTATTTCATTGCCAGACTCTGTGTGAATATGTCCAAGCCTCCTGGGTGACCATGGCTGTGGGGTTGGGGTAGGGCACAGTGCCTAGATTCAAGCCCCAACATGGCCATTCTGTCACTGCCTGGCACTGGGAAGGCATCTCCACTCCACTGAGACTCAGCTTATTCAGATGGTGACAAGAGACTTACTGTGACCTTGTTCACATTGTGATTTAGTGACATCAGCCAGTGAAGTGTGCTGAGGGATAGGCAGGTTTGGTGAGACCCCTGCACATTCAGGACTGGGGATTCAGTCCTTGGCACAGGTTGGCCTGGCTGGAAAATGTAGGAAAAGCTTATCTGAGCAGCTGAGGCAGGAGCTGGCTCAAGTCACTAAGATACTTCTATACTCTATATACTTATATGTAATATACATTATACAGTATAAGCATATATAGTATACTATATAATAAATATACTGTATATATACTATATATACTTATATATGTAAGTCTATATTTATATATGCTTATATACTACTATAAGAGGTATATATATATGCTGTATATACAGTATACTGTACAGTACAACTATACAGCATATACTATATATAATTATATATACTAATACAGTATATATACTATATAAATATGTAAATACATACAGTATATAGAGTATAGAAATATCAAATATATAGTATATGTAGTATATGAACATATTTATACCATATATATATTTATATATATGCTTATATTCTACTTTATAGAGGAAAGCAGATGGTGGGGACAGCTAAGGCAGGACCTGGAAGCTAGCCCTGCAGGCTCAAGGTCTCTATATGGTTGGCTCAGTCCATGCCTCTCACCCACAGGCTCTATCTGTCTGTGGCAAGGCAAGGTGTTCATGACCATGACCATGAAGGCCTAATGTGCCCTTAAGCATGTTCTCCTAGCCTTGGGGACCAGTGTCATGTAGAGTTATCACCAGCTAGGGGCTTCAGGGTTGGGATCACAGGTTGCCTACCCACTTATAGGCTCTGGCTTCTCCCTCTAGCCATTAAAGTCACAGTAATGTTCCTCTCCTCTCTGGGAACCGGAATGGGAGTCAGTGATTCTCTGGGAAACCTTCCATTGATCTCATGTGCCCTAGGAAACCCAGAAACTTGAATCTCTTGTGAATCCCCAAGAAAGATTATGAAGTGTGTCCCATCTGTGCTCAGATGGTTCCAGACATTGCATCTAACAAACAAGGGCGCCTCCTGCCTGTCACTGCTAGTTCTCTCATCCCTGCCTCTGGGCTTCTCTGGATCTTCCCACTTAGCTGCTGACCTGGAGATAGGGCCCAGGGCAAGCTGTTATCCTTCTCCCCTGTTCCTCTTTAGCAGTTTCCAGGGCTTCCAGTAGTTTCCAGACCTCCTACTCCATCCCAAGCTAGTCCTAGGACCAAGCCTTTCTTATATACGTAGACACCATATGGCCCCAGGAGCCTAGTGAACATTTGAGTTTGGGGAACGTGTGACCTACCAGCTGGATGCCAACTCGCTGGCATTTTTATAATGTATGAGTGTGTATGTGTAGATGTTTGTGTGTATGTACCAGTGTACATATATGTTTGTGTGCATGTGGAGGTCAGAGAAACAATCTCTAGTGTCCTTCCTCAGGTAGTTTTTGAGACAGGGTGTTTCATGGCCCACTGAGCTCCAGAGAGCCTCTTGTCTCTACTTCTCCAGCACGGAGGATATAAGTACATGCCACCATGCTTAATTTTAAAATTTTGGGTTCTGGGGATTAAACTTGGGTCCTTATGCTCCAAAGGCATGAACTTTATTGGCTGAATTTTTTCTCTAGCCCTGGTCCGTTTACTTTTGAGAACACCTCATTTTCTGGGATTCCCCTCCAAAAAGACTCATTTGCCACAGCCTTGCCCCTCCCAGGAGTCCTCTTTGATTGTCTCTAGACCCCTGAATATTGTTCCTGGAAGCCACTGCCTTTCTGGGGTAAGTGGATTGCCTACTCCACTCAACTACTGTCAAGCTAGGGTATGAGCAGCTTTGAGGACATAGTTTTAGGCCAGAGTCTTTCTCTAGTGACGGTAACATGCCTGGCACAGGGCAAGTTTCAGTATCCTGTCATTAAAGCTCTGCAGCCAATTAAGTACATGCTGCTTTTTGTTTTGTTTTGTTTTGTTTTTGTTTTTGTTTTTCGAGACAGGGTTTCTCTGTGTAGCTCTGGCTGTCCTGGAACTCACTCTGTAGACCAGGCTGGCCTCGAACTCAGAAATCTTCCTGCCTCTGTCTCCCAAGTGCTGGGATTAAAGGCGTGTGCCACCGCCGCCCGGCTTACATGCTGCTTTTTGAGGCTGGGCAGAACTGATCACTGGGAGCTCTCCATGGTTCAGAGACAAAGCCAGAGATGTCCACTCAGTTTACATGCAAGAGTATAGGAAGGGCTGAGAGCTGACCATGACTTTGTATGGTGAACACAATCCTTGTAGACACTGTTAGATGTGTAGTTCTGCTTTTGAATCTAGCATTTAAGGATCTCCAACATTTACCCAACACTCACTGTATGCTAGGTGCCTTAGCATAGGTTATCTGATTTATGATGCCAGACTCTGGCTCTCACAGAGAAGGCCTGCACCACATGAGGGTTGCAACAGTGATAGCAGTTGCAACACTGTTTACCTGCCTGGCACAGTGAGGGTGCTTTGGATGGGATCCCACATCTGAGCCTGCACCCTCTGGACTGGATTGAGGGTGTGCTTGGGGCTTCCACTCAGCCTTGTACAGCTCAGCCCTAGGGATGCTCCCTTTAGCTCTGTCTCCCGCACCTCAAGCATCAGGGCAGGTCTCGCAAGGGAGGATGGCAGGCCTACTCTGCTGGAGGAAGCAGGAACATTTAATAAGAAAAGGGAGGCATGGGGAAATGCCAAGGAAGTCCACAGAAGTAAATTTATGAGGAAACAGATGTTTAGAGGTTCTCTTAGAGGAAGTCAGAGTCTCCTCAGCTTTCTGGAGGTTGTCTGCAGCTGTAGAGGGGCCAGATGTCAGGATGTCAGGGGACATACTTTTAGCCCCATGAGCGAGCTCATGAGCAGAGTGGAGATGCAGAGAGAACCAGGTTCAAATCTGGAACCCATCTAACTTGTCACTTTAGACAAAGGACTCAGTGCCTCAGGTTCTTTATCACCAAAACATATATGGTAATGTCTGCTGCACAAGATTAAAGAGAAGAGTAAACAGTGTTCAGAACACAGTAAGTACCTGGGAAGTGTGTGCTTCTTTTCCTAAACACACACCATAAACCAGACAGAGGAAGGGGTGGAAATCCTCCATGACTTGACCATAGCCTTGTGCCCAACACTGCTGAAGAACACAGTGAAGGTCAGCCTTGAGGAGCCCAAGTTTCATTCAGGGCTGCAAATAGCAGTGCAAAAAGCAGAACGGTTTTTCTTTCTTCCAGTGTGGGAGCTTTTGCATCTCACCACAGGGCATCGGGACAAACTGAGAAGTCAATGGCCCCTCCCGTTGTCTGTAAATGGGGTGGCTAACCTTGGACAATCCCTTCTTGCTCCAGGCATGGTGGCGTCAGTGACAGTCTTTCCACCCCACCCAGTGTCCAAGATGTGCTGAGTGCTAAGTGGCCACCTCCAGATCCCGTGACGTGCACCCAAATGGGGGCCAGATGGTAGAAGTAGGAGACGCCCAGGGAATGACCCTTGGTGCAGACTCTGCAGCCACTTGCCTTGGGACCCCAAACCGCCCACAAGCCTGGGCCCCAAGCCCACCTGTACCGCTGCCTCTCACTGCCCAGCTGGAAGTTCTCATACTGGATGGAGGTCTGGCGGCCTTCCCAGTCCCGCAGCTCCACACGTAGCAAGTAGGCCGTTCTGCTGGTGAGGCGGTGCACAGCCTCGTTGCCCAGCCAGTGCTCTCTAGCTACATTGCCAAAACCCTGTGGGGAGGAGAGGAAAGGGTGTCTGTGTGCTGAAGAGGGAGGCAGTGTCTGTGGCCAAGGAGCTGGGCCAGCCAAGGCTCCATGGCCACTTAGCCAGGGTCAATGCCTAATGAGAAAGTTCATAAGGACAGTGTGCACTGGCCTGGGACAGGAGCTCCCCTCTAGAGAACAAAGATGAGCTGTTTGTAAATTTTAAGCCCACTAAAATTAACTGAAATCACATTCCTCTAAAGTCAGAAACACTCACAACTCGTTTGTGGTGATAGAAATGAGAATAGCCGGGGAATGGCTCAGAGGGGAAGAACAGTTGCTGTTCAGGAATGGGGGCAGAGTCAGAACCCCCAACACCCATGTACGAAGCAGAGAGGAGACTCACTGGGGCTTCCTGGCCACCAACCTGGTGGAGAAAGGTAGAGAGCAGGACTCAACCCCCTCTACTGGCCTTCTAGCATGAATGCAAGCATAAATACGTGTATGCATTGCATATGTAAACTCACACTCACAGATAATAAAATAAAAAGAAATAGCCACTACCTCTGGGGAAACACCTAGGGAGATGGGGCACAGGGGGACTTTCCAGGTGCCAGGAAGCTGGGTGAATGGCAGTCACATAAATGAGCCTGTGGGAGATTCACGGAGCTCTTTGCTTTGTATTTGTGTTCTCAGCTACATGTACGTTAAGCCTCAGCAGAAAGGAGTCGGCTGAGCCAGCTGCCAGGCAGGAGAGGCAGAGAACAGTTTTCCAGAGGTGAGGCAGAGGCCAAACAGTTTCAGCAATGGAGAAATGTAAGGCTACCAGTCCTCAAAGTATCTTTGTAACCCGAGCTCCAGGATGGCAAGAGACCGATGCCCTTTGGCAGAGCCATCTCTCAGGACCAAGGACAGGGGCACACAGTGTCCACTTGATCTGCTGGCTGCTTAATGCCAGCCACTGTTATGTCCTTATCTGGAGGATGGCTGATGGACATGGACTGATTTCTTGTGAATCTTTCTCCATTTCTTTTACTTATGAAAACTTTAAGGGCTTTTAAGTCAGCTTGCCAAAATTCCTAAGTCCAAAATTTAACGGAAAACAAAATTGGAAGGCAGTCGGGTACTCCTTGCCATCCATGTGTTCTTGGGAGCAGTCCCGCTTTCAATAATCTGTCTTAAACCGAGTGTGGTAGTACAGCCCCATAATCTCAGCATTATGAAGGTGGAGGATCAGAAGTTGAAAGTCATCTTCTGTTACAAAGAGAGTTTGAGGTCAACTTGCAATACATGAAATCCAGAAGAAGATGAGGTATAGGCAGAGAAATTTGTCTTGTAGATGTGTTTCAGATGTATAGAAAGATGAGGAAATTTGAAGAGCCTGGTGGCTCATGCCTTTAATCCCTGCACTTGGAAGGCAGAGGAAGGTGGATCTCTGTGAGTTCTAGACCAGCCTTGTCTACACAGGACATCCGGTGCTATGTAGACTGACTGTCTCAAACAAATAAACAACACTAAAAAACAATGAAGAAATTAATTAAAACCATATAGTCAGGGATGATAAGAATTTTTTGTTTCATTCTTTGCATTATGAGTGTATGAGTGTGGATATAAGTGTGTGAGTGTGTGTATGAGTGTGTGAGTGACTGTATGAGTGTGTGTGTGAGTGTGTGAGTGTGTGTATGAGTGTGTGAGTGTATGAGTGTGTGTGTGAGTGTGGGTATGAGTGTGTGAGTGTGTAAGTGTGGGTATGAGTGTGCGTGTGTGTGCATGCATGCTCATGTGTGTACTCTAGAAATCAATGCCAGGTGTCACTACTCAGTTGTGACATCTTTGTTTTTCAGATAGGATCTCTCACCGGCCTGGAGCTTGGGACTGAACTAGGTTGGTTAGTCTTTGAGCTCCAGGGATCTCTGTGTGTCTTTGTCTCCCCAGATCTGGAACCACAGTTAGATGCTGTCCTTCTCAGCCTTCTTGTGTGGGTTCTGGGAGTCAAACTTAGGTTCCCCTGTTCACAGAGCAAGCATTTCATCTACTGAGATAACTCTTCAGTCCTTCCTTTGGATTTTTTGAAAAAAATTATCAACATGCAAGTGTTAAATTTTCAAATATTAAAACAAATAACAAATTTCATTCTTAGGACATATGTGAAGAATGTCAAAGAGGGGCTCCATTTGAGGCCAGGTCTGGAAAAGCAAGTGAGCTTGGGCAGTCGGCTTTAGGTGAGCTCTACCCTCACCCAGGAGAGAGCTAGGGCTTTACACTGTCCACCCCAGCACCTGCCTGCACAGGCTCTGGGCTGGGAGCCCCCCGGACAGCATCTTACCTCTTTGTATTCCTCCCAGGTCCTCTGGAAATTCATGCTTCCATCTTCCCGTTGCTGGATGAGGGTCCAGCCACCTCCATCGGTCTCCATGTCACAGAATACCTGTGAGGAGGTGGAACAACACAGCCAGATACACTTGGAGGGGCCACAAGCCAAGTCTCAGGCAGCCTAAATGTAACTTGGCTGAACTCTGCCCTTCTCTAGCAACAGTGAACCTGAGGTCAAGGGCATCAGGAAAGTCCAGATGCAGACTCCCCACCCACTGACATCATCGTTCAAGGAGGCCAGTGACTGACACCCTCTCAGAGCCTTCTCCCCATTTGCAGAGTGGAGTTGTTCTCTGAAAACCAGAATTATTGTGAGAATTTCAGAGTAGAAGCTGACACACGCAAGGTCTTCTCATTTGTTATTACTGCAGGGGTGTCGCCAGAGTCAAAGTTCACATTAGACACCTGACAGAAACAACTTGAGGGAGGAAGGACTTATTTTGCTCATGGATTAAGAGCATTTTCAGGGCACAGTTGTTTGGAATTCTGTGCTGGGACAAAACATTATGGTGGTGTGAGTATGAGTGTGTGTGTGTGTATGTGTGTGAATGTGTGTGTATGTGTGTGTGAGTGTATATGTATGTGTGTGAATGTGTGTGTATGTGTGTGTGAGTGTATATGTATGTGTGTGAATGTGTGTGTATGTGTGTGTGTGAATGTGTGTGTATGTGTGTGTGAGTGTATATGTATGTGTGAATGTGTGTGTATGTGTGTGTGTATGTGTGTGTGTATGTGTGTGAATGTGTGTGTATGTGTGTGTGAGTGTATATGTATGTGTGTGAATGTGTGTGTGTGTGTGAGTGTATATGTATGTGTGTGAATGTGTGTGTGAGTGTGTATGTATGTGACGTGTATGTGTGAATGTTTGTACATGTGTGTGATGTGTGCGATGTATGAGTGTATGTATGAATGTGTGTGTATATGTGTGTATGTGTGTGTGATGTGTGTGTATGTGTGTGTATGTATATGTGTGTGAATGTGTGAGTGTATATGTAAGTGTGTGATGTATGCAATGTATATGTATGTGATGTTTATGTGTGTGAATGTGTGTATGTGTGTGTAAATGTGTGTGTATGTGTATGTATGTATATGTGTGTGAATGTGTGAGTGTATATGTATGTGTGTGATGTGTACAATGTATATTTGTGTGATATTTGTGTGTATGTGTGTGTATATTGTATATGGATATGTGAATGTGTGTTCCCATTCTGTCTGGCCTACCTCAAACCTTGTTCCTGACACTTGCACATCCCCTGACCCCCTATCCCTGGGGAACTGTCAACCTCAGAGCAACCTTGGAGCCTCTCATGGGATGGTGGCACCCCATCAGCCCATCACCAGCTTCCCAGACCCAACTCCTGCTTCTCCTGGACTGTATGTGAATGAAATAACCTACTTGGGCAAAGACAAATAGTTGTGCCTGGGGCCATCACTTACACAGGTGGCTGCCATCTTTACCAGCACAGAACAGTTTCCTTCTGCCTAGAAGCTTGTTTCTGGAGAAGATGGTTCCCAAGGGTAGACTGCTGGCTTTGTGAACTTCTGCTTCATCCCTCCCTTAGAACCTGCCTGGTGAGAGTTTCCAGAAACAGAGATCCCTCCTTCTCTGGGCTCTCTGAGGGTGGATAAAGCCTAGTGTTGATGGGGCGGGGTAGGAGGGTCTGTCAAGAAGTCCCCAGTTCAGCAACATCCCAAGCACTCTAACCTTGAGAGGCTTTGTCATGTTGGCCCCATGGATGGTATAGACACCGCTGGTGTTGACCCCGGAACGCTTGATTTCTGCACAGTCCTGGAACAGTGGCTTAGGTGTCTTTAAGGAAACTGCAACAGGACAAAGCAAATGTCAGCTAGGAGGTCAGGCAGGCACAGCAGTGCACATCCATACTTCCAACACTCAAGTAGCAGAGGTAGGAAGATCCTGAATTCAAGACCTACCTGGACCGTAAAATCTTGTTTCAAAATGAAGGAAGAATGGAAAGAGAAAAGGAAAGAAGGAATAGAGAGAGAGACTAAGAGAAGGAAAGGAGAAAGCATCAGCAGGAAGTGAGCAGGCAGAGAGAGGAGACCAGGCAGTGCACACCCTGCCTGGGGCGGTCCAGACACAGGAAGATGCAGGCTTCTCTCAGGAGGGGATGGTGAGTTGAGACCATCCAAATGAGGGAGAAGTCTGCCTAGAGGAAGCAGCACGTTGTCCACATCCCTGGGTAGGAATAGCTCTCTGTGCAGGGGATGGGGTACAGGGAGGGTCACCAGTGTCCACCGTGACCTAATCTTGAGGTAAGGTTAGGAGCCACTGCACAGACAAGTGAGGGAGAAAAGGAAAACGAGAAGCTTGGACTTCTGCAGGGTCAGCAGCATCAAACACCAGTGGGAGGAGCCTTACTGCAGGGCGTTGGCACAGCGCTTTGCCTGAGTGGATTGGGATGGAGCAGAGGATTCCTGTCAGGAGCCGTCTAGGATAGGCTAGGGTTAGCAGGTGGCCTTCCTAGAGGTGACCCATGGTTTTTGCATGGTCTGTGATGGGGAAACTCAATGGCAAGGTCCCAAAGAGACTTCATCTCAGGGTTGCTTCCTACAGCTGATATGCCTTTCTCATCATTATTAGATTAATATGAATAATCTCTGGGCGTTAGCCCACTCTATTGATCAGATTTCCCGCAGATCAACATAAAGATGAACTTTCATGAATTGATGCTGTTTAGGTGAATTAATGATTCTATAGAATTCCTAATTGATTCAAATAATTTTAGGAAGAAAGTTTTTTAGAGATAGTTTTAGTTGTTTTGCTAGAAAGAGATAGTTAAGTTAGAATCAAGAACAGAATGTGCCACCTCATATAGTAAGCAAAGGCTGTGTAGTAAGAAATACAGTGAGCTTTCATGATCACACTAAAAAAAGAAGTAGGCTTGGGATAAATTTGTGCTCAAGGAAAAACATTTAGGCTCAAGGATAAAGTCACAGGTGTGCACGATGATAAAGCAAGGCCGTGTGAAACTGTTGCTTTGAACTTATAATGAACTTATAGAATGAAACACTGCTTTGATCAGCACCCTTCTGTAACTCCCCTTCTGTGTAACATTCTATCTCTGAGGTAATTTTCTAAAGAACTTTTTGTCTATGAATGTACAAAAAGGCCAGAGACAAGAAATAAAATTATTGGTTGGATGATTTGGCTGTGGGGGCTCTGTTCCATCCATCCATCCATCCATCCATCCATCCATCCATCCATCCATCCAAGTGTATATATCTGCTTGTACATACATGTGTGGGTACATGTGTATGTATGTAAGCATGCATGAATACTGGTGGAGTGTATGAGACAGGAGGGTAGACCCAATAAATATGTGACTGTGTTAATGTATAAATAAAAATGCAAATGCAAATGTGCATACGAATGTCTGTGTCTGTGCGTATTTGCCTGTATAAAACATCTTAATTCTTTTCCTTCCTTCCTCTCTGGTTCACAAGGAGTTAACCATCCTAGCTAGAGAGGCTTCTGGCTGCCAGGACAGAGAAGAGGGTGATAGCAGTAAGTTTTACTTAAGTTCCCACTGCTAGGCAACAGGCGTTAGTCGCCCAAGTCAGCGGTTTTTGACGTAGAATAAGCAAGAAAGTTTTTAGGATTTTTTTTTTTTTTAGAAGTTATCAGCAGGCATTCAGGATATTAGAGAGCTAGAAGGCTGGGGACCATCAGTCTTTAAAGCTGCCTCTACATCCGATGCTGTGTCCTGCTTCGGACCATTTCAGGCCAGGCTAGCTCCTGGCAGATGCCCAAGCAGGTAAACCAGAGCTGGGCCGCTAGGCTTCAGCACCTGGAGAAGGCAGGTGACACCTGCCTTCCACAGAGACACTTCCCACGTCCTAGGGCAGACACTGAAGCACAGGATGAGGACTGACCCAAGGGCTCCCAGCTTCCCCTTGCTGGAGTGTCTTTCAGAGGGGACCTGGGGTTTTTGTGGCTGTCTGATAAGCTGGATCTCCTGCAGCTCCAGTTAGAGGCCTCCTCATCCTGCCCTCCTGGAAGCTGACCACTGGCCTTCAAGGGCACACGTACATTCCCTAACAATGTGTTCTTGAGACCAAGAGACTATTAACTTAATGACTGGAATCTTCCATGATCCCAGTATATACAGGGAGTTAAAATTCCTCTGTCTAGCTCTCTTAGCAGGTTTGGGATGAGATTTTACTAGAACCCCATCTCTCTGAGAGGTAGGTACCTAAAGATGGAGCCAAAATTGTGGAGGGATGGTTGTTAATACAACAAACAAACAAACAAGCAACCCAACAGGATGCTACTGGGGATGGGACTTCCTGTTTGGTCCTTACATCTGGATAGTGGCTCCCAGATCCTGCCATTGGAAGACATGTTTGAACGGGGTTGCTCCATACCACAAATGAAGTGTCTAGAATGTTTCCTGGTCAGGGGTCTCTAGTGCCAGCATGACAGCAGCCCTCAGATCCCGCACAGGGAAGGAGAGGCCAGCAAATGCAAGCAACATTATAGCTTGGAAGTAAGAAGAGACAGGCTACACTGTACTTAAGGAATCAGGGCAGAGCTGGGAGCTGGCCTGGGGTTTTTAGCTACTCTCTCTGAGACTCTGTCTACAGCCCATTTCCTCAGTGAACAACAGCAACAGCAATAACAGTCTAATAAAAATGCTTTTACCTGGAACTATTGTGTTGGAGGGTTTCCTAGGAGCCAGGGTCTGCTGGGAGCATCTTGGGCTCAGGAAAAAGGATTCAGGGGACAGCACAGAAATAAAACTGGACCAATATGGCAGTGAAGTGGTGCGGTGGAATGTGCGTCCTGGATCTTCATCTGTTCAGTTCCCACCCCTCCCCCACCCTGTGTCTGGCCCTAGGCATGGTGACGAGCCCTGGCCAGTGTGACTTCTACTGTGCTCTCTGCTGAGAAGTGCCGGAGCAAGTGTCCTATCGTGAAGGTGAGAAGTCAGATGACCTGTAAGGTGAGGAAGGCTGTCTGGCTCAAACTCTGCTTACTCCACCGGCTAGCCCTTCCCCTCTCCACCCTTCCTTGGGGTTGGGTGTCTCATCTGAGCACAGGGAGGCTGGGCCAATGGACCACTGCATGAACACTGCTTTTACACAGTGCACAACTGAGCCTGTGTCCCTGTCCTCACATTGTGACTGCAGAGTAGCCATGCTGGCTGTCCACTGGGCTTCAGCACCCCCTGAACCACTCTCTGATCAACTCTCACTCATCAGTCGTCTTCCATGGGCTCTCCATCTGTCCAGGGGCAAGAGCGACAACCAGAAGTCTTTTCCTGGTGCCAGGCAGGCAAGCGGATAGGTGTTTGGACAGAGAGTGATCGGGTGCTTGACCCAGCCTCCCACTGCACTTAAGGAACAGTCATTCAACCTCAGTGGGAGGAGACAGGAGAGCTACGGACCTGCAAGAAGAGGCCCGAGCTCAGGTCCTGTCCTCACCTGTGAGAAACCCACACACACGGGACTCATTCAGATTGTCTCACTGACAGGGCTGTGCACAAGCCCATAATGGCTCTGGTCACTGCCTATCCTGCGGTTTAGAAGGCATCTATCTCTCCCCCCCCCGCCCCCTTTATGGCTTCCCTAGACTGCTGGACTGAGGGTGAACTCATGGTGGGATCCTCTGCCCCAGTTCCCTCTCAGGCTGGAACTCCTTCACCCGATTGAAGCTGGGTAGCTTACAGAAGGCCCAGCCTCCCCCAAGGTGGTTGCAGATTGTTCTATAGCAGAAGCCCCTTTGGTTTCTCACCCAGTCCGTACTAGTCTGTGCTTTCTAAAAGAAATTCCACCCCATCCACACTCTCGTGTGCCCCCTGCTGGCCTTAGGTTGAAGTGCCCTCTTCGTTGCTCTCCCTTAGCGTTCTGAGCTGTGGAAACTGGAGCAGAAAGTTAAAGTGTTATCTTCTGAAGAACAGCAGGTAGATCATAATTCAAGGCAGTGTACCGTATAGACCATGACATGTTTCAAGGCACAGGCCAAGAAGATTTTGTACTTTTCCACCACCTGGCCCCTCTTACCCCCTCCCCTTGTAAAACATGCTATAAAAAAGCATTTCATGTTCAATAAATAAATAAATAAATAAATAAATAAATAAATAAATAAATAAAAAAGAAAGTTAAAGTGTACCTGGCTGACTGTAGGCCCTTCCCTTCTCCTTCACGCTGAGACCTGACAAACAGTAAGGAATTTTGCAGCAGACAGAAACCACGACAGCTGTGTGCTGCTGAGTCCCTGCCACACATGCCTCTGCCTGGCACACAGTGGGTGCTCAGTAAAAGCTTGGTTAAGTGGATGCAGATAGAACCAGCTATGCCAAGATGGCTTTGGAGTAAGCTAGGCATGGTTCTCCTTTCTATGATAGGCTGGGGATGTCACATTTCTTCCCACTTCCATGTGGCTCTGTAAGCCTTGGAGGGAGCAGGAGCACCAAGGGGAGAGAAGTCTTGACACTTGTGTGCGACTCTTCCATTCTTTTGGGAAACTGAGGCCCAGGGAGACGTGTAGCAAGCCAAGATGGATAACTGGGTATAGTGGGGCATGTCTTTAATCTGAGCACTTGTAAGACAAAGGCAGGCAGGACTCTGTGAGTTTGAGGCCAGTCCATGCTACATAGCAACTTCCAAGCTGGAACTATATGGTGAGACCTGATTTTTGTTTTTTGAAAAAAAAAAAAAAAGATCTGGTACACACACTTTTCAGTGTAGTTGTGGTTGCCTGTGTTATCACCATCTCCATTCAACAGATGGGGAAAGACAAGGGCAGAGTCTGAGTTGGATACTCTTAGGGGCTGCTGTGGCCAGTATGATCACGGTTCACTGAATTTCTCTTTTGCAAATGGTAGGAGAGAGCTAGCCTCTCCCACGACGGGTCCCTGGCCTATAATGGCTGAGGAGGCTACACAGGGTCTCCCTTCCATCTTTGGCTCTCCACCCCAGCCCCTGCTTACTCACTCCTGCTCACCTGGGTGCTGGTCCTGGGCTACAATCCGCACCAGGCGCTGTACTAACTCCATCAGTTTCTGCTGCTGCTGTTGCAGGGAGCTGGAATTGCTGCCAAGGGCTTGCAGATTGTGCTTCAGGTTAGCCAGGGCCCCGGTCTGATGGCCCAGGAGGCTCTGCAGTTGTTCCCTCTTGTCTTGGAGGCTGTTAAGCTGGGCCTGATGCTGTGCTTCCAATGCCTGCAGCCTGATCTCCAGGGCCCTGCCATGTGGGACACATAGCAGTGAGCCTAAGGTCTCCACTCTTAAGCATTCACCCCACCTCCAGCTTCGGTGGTTGGGGATGAATATGACAGCGGCACATACTGTGCAGAGGCTCAGAGGCTCAGAGACACTCAGTGTTTGGCTCAGGGTCACACAGTCTGGTAGACTGTGTCTAATATAGCTCAGATCAAGGAAGAGAGGGGGTATATGGAGTCACATGAATAGGAGTGAGCAAAGGGATGAGGTCAGGATGGAAGGACCCAGCAACAAGCCAGGGGCCAGGAGCACAAGCCCAGAAGGGATGTCTTTTGACCTTGTGTGTTCCAGCCCAAAGGAGATAGTCTCTATGGAATGCGGGCATGATACTGCTTAAATGTGAGAAAGGAGAGGCATCATAGATGCCCAACAGTCAGGGCTGGTGGGTCTGTTCTGTTGTGATGTTCCCAGGATTGTGCTATAGCCATGGGGAGGAAGGAGGTGAAGGTCCTGGCAAAGAGCTGGGAAGGGGAGGTGGGGACTAACCTGGCAGAGCCTCTGATGGAACCTCAAGCGTGGGAGACAAAAGAAGAGAGGAAGAAGAAAGGAATGCATGGCAGTATGGAGTGCTGGGAACAGACAGACAGACAGACAGACAGACAGACAGACAGATGGTGGAAAGACGCTATGAGCCTCAGTGTGGGCTAGAGGAAGGCAGGAGAACCCTGGCTGGGATGGGCTTCTGTGGAAATAGAACAGGTACAGGAGACGCGCTTGCACTTGCGGTGCTTTCTTTATCTGCTTGCAGTACTCGGGGTGCAACACAGGCAAGTGATCGGAGTGTCTTTATACCACACAGCTCTACTGGGGCAATAAGCACATGGCGTACTCATATAAGAGGCAGAAAGTGTTTAAGAAAAGAAAGCGTTCCACTCAGCTCCTCCTCTTCAGGCATTCTCTCTTGTCTATGGGAGACGAAACGTGGAAGCATTGGTAGATTAGTAAAAAGCTGGAAATGAACTTAATGTCCATTGATTAGAGCCTGGGAAATAAACACTGAGGAACTCTGGGAAGTTGGAGAAAGATCAAATGTGATCACTCAATAGCAGAACCAAGCTGTGGGCCTTGGGCATCAGATTTCCCTGCCTTGTCTCTACCCCAGGGCTGGTTTTGGTTTGTTTGTTTGTTTGTTTGTTTGTTTGTTTGTTTTGGTCTGTGGAAGTCCATGTGTCCCCAGAGCATACTTATACAGAATACCAGACTGACCATGAGGCCTGACACTCAGAACTGCTTTCTCCAGAAAGGGGTATTTCAGGCTTGTGTGCTTACAGATACAGAAACCAGTTAAAGTTTACAATGTGGAGTGCACATCATGAAAAGTGTATCTTAATAGAGTAATGAAAATCAAAAGCAGAAAGAGAGAGCTGGGTATGCTTGCACAAGCCTATCATCCCAATGCCAGAGGCTGAGGCAGGAGGATAGAAACTTTGAAGCCAGCTGGGCTACATAGAAAGAATCTGTCTCAGCGAAACAGAACAGACAAAGTGGCAAAACAAAACAAAACAAATAAAACAAAACAAAACAAAAAAACAAAAAACAAAAAACAAAACCCTCCAAACAAGGGGTAGTGTGTGTGCACATGTGTATGTGTGTGTATTTATGTGCATGTATATATGCATGTGTGTGTGTGTTTGTGTGAATGCATGTGTACTTGTACATGTTTGTGTGCATGCAAGCATTCTTGTGTGCATGTGTGTATATGTGTGTGCATGTGTGTGCATGTCTATGTATGTGTGTGCATGTTTGTGTGCATGTGTGCATACTTGTGTACATGTGTGTGTACATGTGTGCATATATGTATACATGTGTGTTTATGTGTGTATTCATGTGCATGCATGCACTGCATGCCAGCACTACAAAAAGAAAGAAGGTGGAAGGAGAGACTCAAGGAAAAATGCATGGCCTCTATTGATATTGAACACTGGGAGGCAGGCCTGGAGCTGCCTTGTTTGGACTCTGAGCTTAATTCTGATCCGTATCTAGCTCTAACCTCACCCCAGCTGTGTCCCCAGTCCTAGCTCCATCCTACAGTGGTCCTTTACCCCAGTACAAATCCAGGCCCCAGTCCCATCCTGACACTGGCCAGGTCCAGCGGCTCACTGCAGCTCTAGTCCTGTCCCTGCTCACCTGTTGCGGCCCTGCAGCCGCTGCAGCTCGCGGCTCTGCATCAGCATCTGCCTCTCCAGCTTGTTGGTGGACAGTGAGCTCTCCAGCATTTGGGTCTTCATGTGTGATGTCTGGTTTAGGACCTGTCCCAATAAGCAGGAGGTTTGTGGGGATGTGTGCTATGTAGGCCCAAGAGCCTGCCACTCTTGAAGCTTGCCAATCCATTGCCACGGTCTGAAGCTATCAGTTTTTATGGTTACTAGCTTACTACCTTTCATAAGCCCTACCTGTCTTAGTTGGTTCCTAATTTGTCCTCCCTCATGACTGCATTTGCACATCAGTGCTAATCTCCTAGCCGTTGGGGGTTCCAGAGATGTAACTTTGACCCCACATGCCCTATCTTCCCAATGCCCCTAACCACTCCCTTCCTTCCAAGGCCATATGGAATCTTGGCCTCTCTCAGCTAGCTTCAGCCATCAATGTGACAGCCCAGAGTTATCTGAGGGAATCCAGTTAGGAGAATGTTTCTGTAAGATTGGCCTGTGTGTATGTCTATGGTCCATTTTCTTGATTGTTGCTGACACGGGAGGGCTTAGCCCACTGTGAGTGATGCTACTCCTGGGCAAGTGGTCCTGAGTTGTGTAAGCAAGCAAACCGAGCAAGCCATGGGGAGCAAGCCAGTGTGCAGCATCCCTCTGTGGCTCCTGCCTCTGCCCCTGCTTGTGTGTCTGCCTTGACTTCCTTCGGTGATGGACTGTTACTTGGACGCATAAGTTAAATAAACCCTTTACTCTCTAGAGTTCTTTTAGTCATGCGTTTATCACAGTAACAGAAAGCAACTAGCTTCACTGTCTGCTGACTCTCGTCCAGTGTCCTGCGCTCACCTCACAGGGCTCCCTGCTCCTGCCGTTTCCGCCTCATCCCATTCCCACAGCAGCAGTCTGAGGCAGCCTTTCCTGCTGTGGCCCCTTTACTCCCCCTTTGCTCAAAATCCATCTGCGGAAAGCTGATCCTAGGCCCATGATTTAGTTTCTCTCTACGACCCCCCCCCCCCTGCCCTATCCCTCGGGACACTGGCCCTCCATGTCCCTGGAGTAGCCAGCAGGCTCACCCTCCTCCCCCTCCCCTGACCCTACCCTGAGCTTTTATGCATGCTGTTCTCCCTGTCTGGTGTGTTCTTCTTAGCAACTTGGCTCATGCACTAGCAACACTGTATCCCAGTGTCCTTCTGACCTTGCTGTCTGGACTCATCACCTCCCATTCTACCCATGGACCCAGCAGCACACCCTTCTTTCTCTCTCTGGGTGCCACTTGCCTTACATGGTCACTGAGTAACATACAGGGGCTGTGTATCCTGCTTGCCTTCTTGGTGAGTTCCAGGGCAGTAGGATACCTTGATTGACTTGCTTATGGCACTAAACTGGGACCAGGGTCTGGCGTAGTGCCTGGCACACAGGGGGGATTGCTCTTTTCTTGTCCCCTGCCCCCTCTCTCCCTCTTGGCTGCCCTATTTGGCCTGTTGAGGTCACCCAATCTCTTTATCATCCATTTCTCCCAGTGCACTATAATCCCTGGGGGAGGGGCTTTGTCAGTGTTGTCTTTGCCCAGTGCCCAGCAGTCTTGAGCTTACACAGAGAAGTCAGAGCGAGTGCAGCAACATAGAGGGAGATGACCGGTTATGTGAATGCATGTATCATCAGGGAGAGGAGGCCAGGGGGCTTCAGGCCCCAACCTCACCAGGACAGTGACAGGAAAAGATGGGAAGCCTAGAGGATCAGCCTGGTCTTCTGATGGCTCTCCAGTTACCTGTGCCTCCACAGCAGTCAGCTTGTGGGTCTGAGCCATGGTCTGGTTCATGAGGTTGGTGCCCAGTGCCAGCATGGTGGTTGTCTGATTCTGGATTGTGTGCTGTTGGGCCTGTGCCAGGTCTGACCTCAAGTTCATCTGGATGGACCGCTCCAGCTGGAGGGAGACAGAGGGCTGTGGTGAAATGGCAGGGACTGGGGAAGAAGCCTCCTGTGGCTCCCTCCCATGTGCAGAACACAGATCAGCAGCTAGAGGTAAATAAATACCTGACTGAGAATGAACTACGTCAGGCCACTGCTCCCCTCTCCTAGGTTTCCCTCACTGGCCTCTCTCTTTATTCTTCTTCCAAACAGTCTGTCCCCACTGGGTAGCCACTAGGTAAGCTCTCCTTTGCTCTGTGTTAACCCTTGGTTCCCATTTCACTAGAAAAGCTGAAAACATTGAGGGTAGTATCTTCTATGGCTAGCCCACCCCTCCTTTCATCCTTCCTTCCATCTGTCATTCCAATTCAGAAGCCACACCCCCACACTTCCCTCCTATACAAAACACACTCATCTTAGGGCCTTTGACCATCCTATACCCCTGTACTCTCTCCAGAACGCTCTCCCCACCCACATGGCTCACTCCCTCGTGTCGGTTCATTGGTGTCACACACTTATCACTTCCTAGGTTTATGCCAAGCATCTCTTTTTATCTCTCTTACCCTGCAGAATGTCAAGTACACGAAACCAGGGATGCAATCTTGCTCAATCTCTACAACTAGCACAGCACCAGGTATTCAGAGGGTGCTCAATAATTGTGTTCAATGAATTTATGGGAGGGGGGAGCAGCAAAGATCAGAGTGTAGCCCTCATGCTCTGCCTTTCCCCCTAGGAGAGAGCCAGCCTGTGTTGGGGTTGGAGGTGGGCTCATATCTTTCCCTTGTACAGGTTTCCAGGCCCATCTCCCAAGTTGAATTTTCTCTTAGCCCTGTTGTCTGCCAAACAGAGCTAAGCTCACAGCATCCAAGTGCCCTGGGCCCCGTGAGCTGGCTTCCTTTCTTTGGCAGGGCTATATTCTTCCTAAGAGCCCATGGTGCTTGTCTCTTTGGAAGCCAAGAGCAAGTTGGAGAGGTGGACAGTGAGTTCTCAGGCTCAGGCGCTCCTTCGCTGCTCTTGGCTGCACACCCTGCTTGGATCCCCTTCCTCTGTCTCTCAGGCCAGAACTCAGTCTTCCATAAGGTTCCCTGGAGCCACTCAAAGGGGTCCTTGGAAGGTCAAGGCTCTCAGGGAGGGGTACATGACTGGAGGTCATGCTCTCTCAGGCTAATTCTTCCTTCGTTTCTCCCCCTCCTCTGGCCACCCATCTTTTCCTGCCATGACCACTTTGGAAGGTGTGTGCTCCATTGTCAAGTCCCAGTGGTGCACAGAAAGAGTGCTAGAATTGCCTAGAGGGCTCCTGGATCTGCCTCAGCTGGGAGCTGGTTAGAAATGTGGTTTTCTAGAGCTGGCCCAGCACTACTGAATGTGGACCCAGGGGAGAGGCAGCTGTACGTTCTTTAATAGACCTCCAGCTAAAACCAGCTGAGACATCAGAGTGGAGCACGCAAGGAAGATGGGTGGACCAGTGTGGAGCTTCTCCAGGCCTCTGCCCATCACCTTCCTTCTTCCTCTGCACCATCCCTGGGCCTAACCCTTCCTTGCAGCTCCTGGAGAATATGTGCGCACAAATGCATTTAAAGCCTAGGACCCCATCCCTGCACCTGCCTGCCAATTTCTCTATTCCAAGAGTGTTGGTTCCCACTTCTATCTGTTGCAGATGGGGTCTGTGGTCCCCCTTACTGACTTGCCTCAGAGCTTCTTGGGGATTCTCCTTTCTCAGTCTCCCATCCTGCAGGAATGCTGGGATTACAGACATGTGTTGCCTGCATCTTGCTTTCCGTGGGTTCTGGGGATCCAAACTCAGACCCTCATGGTTGTGTGGCCAGTGCTCGGTCTACAGGGTGGTCACTTTGTTATGATCTCCTTGATCTTGTAGTTTATACGGACCTATCACCAGCACGGCTGTTGGACATACACCTAATGTGCCCTCTTCCTGCAACCTGGGCACCACTGAATCCTCTCTCTTGTGGTCCAGTGTTGGTCTCTTTGGCTTCTTGTTCTGTCTTTCCCTAGGTCAGTGGTCCTCAATTGGGGACCAGGGGGTCTGTGAAGAGATTCTGGGACTCTATGACATTGAACGAGTGCAAGATGACATTGAACATGGATTTGTGATTGCAATTTGGCATTTCCACTCACTCTAGCTCAGGCTATAGAGGAGCAGAGGTGGCCCAGCAGGTCCTGTGTCTCAGTGGTAAAGAGAAATTCTGAATACTTAACATACTTAGCATGTTGTCTACAGAACTTTTTGATTTGTTTTGGTTTGGTTTTCTCACTCAGTGTGACTATGGAATTATTGGAGTTATCAACCCACCACTGGTTGAGGCAACAATTTTACTGTCAATTTGGTCTTTAATATTTGGATTATGACTACAGTATTACTAGATATTGTTCTAAGGGCCATGACTTTAGTTTTTCTTTTGTGTGTATTTGTGTGGCCTTTTGAGATAGGGTCTTGCTCTATAGCCCAGAATTTAGGAAACTGGTCTTGAACTCACAACAATCCTCCTGCTTTAGCCTCCTGAGTGTTAGGGTCATGGGTGTGTACCACCATACCTAGTTGATTTTATGCGTTTCTAAGAAAAATAAATTGGCTTTCTCTGGGGCCAGATACTGAAGGGCCCAGTGCTCCAAACACCCCAGGGTGCTGCCTGTGTGCTTTTGCTACTCTGGTGACCTTCATAGCTCACGAATCACCATTTCCTATGAGCAATTCTTCCTGGACACCTCTCCACATCTGGACAGGTTTCCAACAGGGACCTCTAATATTGAAAATGGGGGAAGCACACCTATAATTCCAGTACTTGGAGGTAGACAAGAGGATGAGTAATTTAAGGGTATCCTCAGCTACATAGTGAATTCAAGGCTAGCCTGGGCTACATGAGACCCTGTCTTAGAACAATCAAAACAACCAGCGTCTCTAGCGCCCCGCATAGGACTCTGAGTTCTACTTCCCTCCATGTTCCTGCTCTCATTTTGCTCTTCTCAGTGAATGGCCCCACCCCTTCCTGATCTCATTTTGCTCTTCTCAATAAATGGCCCTGTCCCTTTCTGAAGCCCCAAACCCAGACCTTAATCTTGACTCTGTTCACTCCACATGTCCTGCTATTAAGTCTCTCTCAGAGATCCCAGCAAGAGCTTTAAGTCTGTTTGCCTCTTCCCTCAGCTCCCCAGGGATGCTACTGGTGGCTATTGAGGCCCACCAGTGGCTAGGGTGCAGCAGACACTGCTGTGTCTGCACTTAGATTTTTCTGCTAAGCAGGAGCCTTCTGAAACATGGATTAGATGTAGACTCCAGGGCCCCAAGTTTCTACTTAGACAGCCAGCCGTAAGTTCATTCCTGTGTAGGGAACTTTCTAGACACCTCTCCACACTGCAGAGTGAAGGTCACTTTCCTACCCAGGATAGGTTCCAAGTTATATAGGAAACCCAAGATTCCACTGGTCCTCCTTCATCCTATAGGATTCAGAGTGACTTTGGACCCTCTCAAGTGATTGGGATTCCCTAAAAGCAGACTCTCTGCTTTCCCCTAGTGGGTCTGTGGTTGTAAGTAGATGGGTGGGGCATAGGCCATCCACAGCTGGATCCTATTACTGGATCTGCGAGCCCACCCACTGGCCTGGGCCCTCAGCAGATTATCCCAGCCAGATGGCCTGGTTCAGCCAGGCTGAGGTTCTGGATACCAACACTGGGCTAGACAGGCGCCTGGGGATGGCCCCAGGCTGAGGCATCAGCCAATGGCTGTGGAAAGGAATCCACTTGAGAAACTGATGCAGGCAGGTCTGTTATTATTTGGGCATCAGACTGTCAGTGCCTTTTCTAGCACCTTGGAGCAGGATATTCTTGTAATCTGAGCCACCAGTGTACATACCCATCCCCAGCCTGTACTTCACCTGGGCCCAAGGACCAACTCTGCTGCTTTCCAGTGTGAGCTCTGGAGGGGTTCTGCATGCTCCTGGGCCTCATTTTACAAACACGTTCTATGGGGGCAGCAAGCACTATTCTGTTGAGAAGAGGGCATGAAGAGAGGAAAGCAAAGGAAGTCTCTCACTAGGCAGAGACTAAGGGTGAAAGGGGAGATCCTCCATGCAGACCCAGGTGGGTGGTGTGGCTTCGGTGCCTGGGCAGTCCGAGTGAGCCTGTCTTGTTCCTGTGCTATCTATATAAATGGATCTTAATTGGAAAATAGCTGAATAGCTGAGCCCCAGTCACATTGTGGGCGCCAGTCAGCTTGAGAAGGGACAGATGAGTCCTTAGTGTGCCTAGTCACAGTGACGGGTTTCTAAAGTAAAAAACAAAGACTCGGTGTCTGCAAATGTGGGCTATTCTACCAAGGGGACCTTTTAGTAAGTCATAATTGACCTTCATCAGGCATTGGGTGGGAGTGTGTGATTTCAAAGAGACACGGGAATGCTTAGGGATGCTGGCATTACCTTATATCATAAAATGACAGTACATGGGTTTTCCTGTATGTGAATTATGTCTCAATAAAAAGAAGCCTGCCAACATGAGGTTCTAGATAAATATGTATTATAATTTGAAGTGTTTTCTTACACTGATGTGGGACCTTGGGTTTCTGGTACACACCCACTCAGGCACACTTGCTATGTGCTGGCTCTAGCCTTGGTATAGGGAGTCAGGGACGAGCAGAATTGACAAGCTTCTGGTTCCAGGGCTCCTACTAGACACAGGAGTGGAGCTGCAGTAGTGATGTGCACCAGGAACAAACCAGCCAGGAAGAACAACTGGGGCAAGCTGGCCTGGGTCACCTGAGCTGAGAGGGTGACACACAACAGTTGAAAGAAAGCCTAGAGGGAGGGATTTCAGGATTAGGGAAAGCAAGAGCAAAGGCCCCCAAGGTAGGAAGAGTGTGCACAGGATTGGAAGATGGAAGTTGGTAACAGCCACATGCTCCTTGTGTCTTTTCTGGGGAAATGGTGCCTGAAGTTCAGGACTGAGATAAGCAAGTGTTTACTGCTAACGCAGAGTGGGCCTTGCCTTGGGTCAGTGGTAGCCACC